TTCTTTTTCACCACATTAGATTTTATCACAGAGAAATAAAGGGCCCAAATTTAATAAATAATATTAGTTTTTTCAAGGCTTTAAAAATCAGACTGGAATCGTTTTTGCCACCGGTTCCAAAGTCAAAAGGTTCGACTGTTTGGTTCAAATGGATGGCTCATTTTGATTTAGAAAAAATTAAAAATTAAAATAATTAAAATAAAAACGGTCAAAATAATTATCCAGATCAATGGATCAACAGTTTTAATCGCTTGAATCAACAGATCGCTGACTAATGGTTTTTGGACCCAAGAACAATTTTAAGATAAAACGGAACCAGTTGCCTGACCCGATCCCAGATCACCCGGACCGACCCTCAGGTCTGGTTTTCAAAACCATGAGTCTTTAATTACTATTCGCCAACTAGAAAATTGCTTCGAATTTTGGTCATCGATTTATTGGTAGAAATAGACGAATAAAAAGTAGAAGTGGAATTGAATCTGTAGGGGTGCAACTTAGGCAGGCCCAACCCGAGTCTGTGTTGATCCCGGTCCATAATTTTATATGGCTGAGATTAAATTTTTGGGTTGGGTCTACGCCCAAAAGTTTGATTTTTAAATTATATGGGTTGGGCTTGGGCCTAGTCCTTAAAAAGCCCAAATCTAGCCCAACCTTATCCCAGTTCGATTATATACATGTACATGTACATATGTAGAGATATTTGCATACATATGTATATATATATATATATATATATATATATATTTAATTAACTATACATATATGCATTCATACAGAAGCCCAATTATTAATGGACTACCTTAACCATTTAATGCCACAAGCCAGCCCGGACTAATGTCAGGGGTTGATTCAGTTCGATTTCGGTTAAAGGATTTTCAAAAACTGGTAATACCACCAGTTCAGTTTCAGAAAATAGCCCATAGTTCAATTAAACAAACCATGAACACCCCTATGGGACTACCTTAGCTATTTAATGTGATGAATTCAGATCTCCTGCAAACAAAAATGTTGTACACATAACATTCGATCATACATTAGAAATATCTTCCATACATGTATGATAAATTCATAGGGGATGTTGCCATTGTGAAACTGATTCCCATGCTTTCAAAATGTATGCAGAGTTTTTGGTTGAAGGAGAAGTAGAAGAAGTGGCGTAAGAATATATTTACGTACGTGTGCAAATTCAACCATTCATGTCAAATAAATAAAAGAAAAGAATCATTAATGTTTATTAATATATATATATATATATATATATATATATATATATATATATAGTGTAATTAATTCTATCATCACCCAAGGACCAAGGTTGCTTTCGACACTCAACCAATTTCACAAACACATTAATTAATATATAACAAAGGCTGCTGCACACCTATTGCCTAACCCCACATGATTATTGTTGAAAGAACATGAAGGGTTCCTCCGAGCCATGAGCCAGACCCGAAGGACTGGTTGCCATCCTTATTTGCTGTACATCATGTGGTCCACGGGATGGTCGATGGGGTGTTATTTAATCACTACCACTCCATGCCCGAATCCACACACCTTAACTCCTTCAAGGAGTATCAAATACAAGGACCTTATCATGAATCCTGGATCAGTTGGCCAAAACTTTCTCAACCATGCGTCAATGTCTACATGTATTTTATATTACTTTCACTTTTAAGCTGTGTTTAATTTACTTAATCCATCTATGACATTATGATTGCAGCCGGTTGCCTATATTATATTTATAACAACACTCTTTTAAGATCAGTTTGGAAGGAGTACAAATGCAAATTTGTAGAGAGTGTAAAACCTTGTATTTTTTATGTATTTGAACTGTACATATTTATATTTGTACTCCTTCCAAACTGAGCCTTAATTTTTTGAGAATGAAACTTTGATTATACATGTTTAGCATCAGAATAGAACCTATGGCGGAATGAGTTTTTCACCATAATATAATGTCCGTGAGCAAATTAACATTAATAATATATTACGTCACTTATTCAGGTGTCTCACTAACAGCTCAAGCTGAGTTTTTAGGTTAAAACTATTTCTTGATAATCAAAGTATGTTTGGCTAAGTGATTTAGTGTTTGATCCCCATCACTTCCATTATGTGATTAATTAATTAAATTTCAGCACAAAGTATGAATGAACTTATCCACATTTCAAGCCTGATAATCTTCGCATGAGGAAGCTTATTGGAGAATATAAATCTATTTAAGGACCTCACCTAACAGCTCATGCTTTTGGGTTAAATGATTTCACGGCATAGTATGAATGCATATTTGACTAAGTGGTCTAGTCTAATATTTGATCCTCTTGCCAGTCTCATTAATTATAATTAATTAAATTTCAGTACAAGTAGTATGGGTGGGCATATATTTATCCATGCTCAAAGCCCAATAAGTTTTCACATGAGGAGATGTATTAGAGAATAAGGACCTCACCTTACAGATTAAGCTTTTAGTTGAACCATTCCTTGACACATCATAATTAATAATAACAGGTAGCACTCAATGAATGGCATGGTATTCACTCTACATATAGGGAGGACAGGAGGCTTGGTATAAATACATAAAGGGATGACAACCCAGACAAAAAAAATGCAAACAGGGTTTGGTTTTGCCTTGATTATTCACTCTACAGCGACCACTTGTTTGTTGCTTTGTTTTGTCAGGTATGATGCAAGAGAGATGGTCCCGAACCCATACATAACAAAGCTTTATATATATTAGTAAGCATACAGTTTTCTACTTCAAAGCGTTGTGGCTCATTGGTCTGTCCTCAAACACCTACATTCTATCGTCAACATCAGTGAACTGGATGGAAAGTCCTTTACTCCACTTCTCACTTAATTACTTTTGTTTCAATCTTCCATACGGGCTTACTAGCATTATCATGTGACGCCCCTTCATACTCCATTGCCTGCACCAAGTCTGGGTTAACAGTGCAAAGCTGTTTCTACAGGTGCACGTGACCCATCCAAACTTTTTACTTCTTAAATTATTTAGAGAGAGAGAGAGAGAGAGTGAGAGAGTGAGGGGCGAAGTAGGGTACACCATTGCAAGTTCACGATACAAAAAACCTTGTCCCTCCATAATTTCCCATCACTATTTCTATTATACAGCTGCAACGATAATTTACATCTGCTTTATCTCTTTTGTCCTTGAGATTGTGTTTGGTTGTAATATAAATAAATTTGCACTGACGCAAAATTATGACAGTGCAAATGATTTGAGTGTAAATTTTAACTTATTTTTTTATTTCAAATTTTAGCTTATTTTATTTGATTGCAGTACAAATAAAGTAAATTAAGACATGAAGGAGAATAAACTATAAAGTAAAACCCAAAATAAAATTAAACGAGAATTTGCATTTTTTTCATTTGAACTCTCATGCATTTGACCATTTGTACTAGTGCAAATAAAATAGCACTAAAACCAAACACAATCTAAGCTTCTATTTGGAAGGAGTACAAGAACAAATACAAATTTGTAGAGTAAACAAAACCTTGTATTTTGTATTATACTCTTTTCAAACTGAACCTAACTTTTTGCCATATAGAGACAGCAGCATCATTTGGCAGCAATGATGCCAAATGAAGTTTGGTAATTGCTGAAACCTCTGAAATTTATGACTGTTGCTGAAACCTCTCCTGAAATTTGGTAATTACAATTACCTCTCCTGAGCTTTCTAACATAGTTGCAAGTAAACCCCCTATTATAGTTCTCTAAAAGGAGGCATGAAAATGTCTAAAATACCCATACAGTTACTTTTAACCAAAACATTTATTTTTCAAACTTTCTCTTAATAATAATGCTAGCCCAATGCGGCAAAGCCTTCCAATCTCTTTTCTAAAATTGATTTTTCCAAATTTTCCCTCCATATCTATCAAAGGTAAAGTTGCAGCTTTTGCTTATAAAGTTTGTATTGTTCTTTTTTTTTTTTTTTTTTGTAGAAACCAGCCTCAATATAAATTGCATAGGTATTTTGAACATTTTTGTGCCTCTTGTTAAAGGATTCTAATAAAGGGGATCTATTTACAACAGTGTTAGAAAGTTCAGAGTAGATTATTGCAATTACCAAACTTCAGAAAAGGTTTTTGTAACAGTCAGAAACTTAAGGGGAAGTTTCAGCAATTTACCAAATTGTAAATGAAAACACATTTACAAATTTAGCAATTAATGATCTCTAGTTATAAGGTAACCCAAGAGAAAGATGGTTCAATTGTAAAGCGGTTAGAGTAGAACAAAGGAAACAACATAATAAAAAGAGCCAACTTTGGAAGTACACATTAATAGCATAATCTTTAACAATGTAAAGTCCTACCCGTTAAAAGTAATTGATACAGCTTATGAGATGGTGAAAGAGTACGACGGCACTATAAGATAGGAAGAACAGAAAATGAAGAAAATTAAAAATGGCGTATTGGATAGTCAAAAGATGCTGAAATGAAGACAAATTTGATAAATCTGTTAGAGAGTTAAAGAGACAAATTTGATAAATCTGTTAGACAGTGGAAACAATGGCAAGAAATTTCTGGTCACATCATGATGGCAGATTCAAGAGCCCGGGACTAACAATGATTGACATGGAAGAGGCAAAAGCTGCAAGAGAAGCACTACTCATAACAGAAGAAAATGGACTCCACAAAAAGTGAGAAAGTTTAATTCTAAGCATGTAGAACATACTTGGAGGTGAGCACTCAATGGAGGGAAGGAAACCAAATTGACTTGCTCAGTTGCTTGTAACAAGAGAAGCACTACTCAATTGACATGCAGCTAGATAATGAGTTGTAAAATATTTTAATATCTACCTAGAATTGTGTACAAAATCTATATTTGCCTTGGTTTTGTTACAGATCATAAAAGTTAAATTTGACTATACAATAGAAACTTATATCTTTACCCTTTGCTTGCATACAAGCATCACATACCTATCTTTAATAAAAATACAGTGATCATATGAAACAAACTATATCAAGATCTTGCATCTTCTGCAACTGTGGTCGCAGCACTTTCTTGTGACCCCAATAAAAGACGACAATTACATTTTGTTTTAAGTTTAAAAATATCAAAACATCTACTCTTTTTTTTCGATTGCTACCATGTCCTTGTAACCTTGTTTTATTGGTGATCATAGAAAATGCTGCAACCGCGATATCTGCATATATGAACTCAGAAACGAACATCATGTATTTTAAATTCAAAATACCCCCTGGTTTGCTTTTACGTGGATGGGCTCAGATTGGGGTTTTGTTAAAATTTGAATTAGCTCTTCGAACCCAAAGCAATGTAAAATGATAGCTAAGTGGGCCAAACAGAGTTGCATCCCTAACGGATATTCTGTGACCGTAGTAGCAGCTGATGCAAATGACGAGACCCATGAATCGCAATGGGAAATCGAGTCAAAGGAGAATGACCATATTTCTCGTGACTGATCTTGGCGCCTTGGCAGGCAATCAAAGAATGTAAGGATTGTCTAACACCTTGCTGCCTTTTGAGATTTTGAAAACCAGTGAATCAATAGGATCATAGGATGGGGTGTTGATGTTATGATAAATCCAGGGGATCTCTCAGCTAAGACGCTAAAGAGAGACCAAGAAAACAAAGCCCAGCCTCATCCAGTTATCAACGGCCCTAGATAAAAATTAAAATACGAGTCCTTTTTATTTTGGAGATCAGGAAGCAGTCTGCCTCATGTCTAGGCCTCTAGGGTACCATTCCAAGCGCAACCAAAATCAACGCTGCAGCAAAATTTGGAAACCCCTCGTCATCACAGAAACATCACCTTTATGCATTGAATTTGCTCGCGTTCCATGCTGGCAAGTTCCTCGAAATAAAGTACGAAATCAAGCTTGTCTCTTCACTTCAACGTCTCCACAGGAACAAACCACCTGGAGTCTACATTCATGGGGTCAAGTTCGTATTGTGCCTGGGGTCCATAGCATATGCTATAGGATGTAAAATGGGTTTGACTATGATATGAAAAAGATATGATATCTGAAAAACTTGTTACCAGTCAACTGGAACCATAAATGGGGTAGCCAATTAGGTGTCATTTACCAAAATTCATGGGTGGGTTTTGATTGGTCAAAACTATTCCCATACCAAATCTTTTCCGCATCATAGATTTTCCCATGTAAAATTGGTGATCGTGGGGAAACAAAAGGTGTTACACAGGACGGGAGTAACATGCCCCACAAAATCACCAAAACAAATAGAAGCTAAATCACCAAGGGTACAAAAATATCTGCTAGTCACTAGAGAAAAAATTGGTGCACGTGGGGAGTATCCCCACGCAATTGTGAACTTTTTATTTTTTATTTTATTTTTCGAAAGCACTGGTCACGAGCCTCTTTTAATGATTTCAACAAAAACATAGGAATTAGGAAGTATACGACCAAGCAACAGGAGAAAAGCAATTTGTTGCAAGACTAATCCCTCGGTACATTTGCACCGAGAGAATTACATAAATTACATAACATTAAAAAAGGTTAAGACAACAGGCAATTTGTCACTACTACTCCCAGAAACCCCAACACTATAACCAAATTCAATTGAAGCTACCACACTTCATACAGTCCTATCAATAAATGTGATCCCAAGCAGGCCCAGCAGTCGCAGCCCAGGAGGTCCCCATTCCGCCAGCCCAAGCCCAGACAGCTCAAGAAGGAACCTCGGCCCAGGAGCATCCCACGAGACCTCCCACTCGATTTGTCTACATTCAGAGGTCACGTGAAGATTAGACAGAGGGAGCACGAATCCTGTAGACCCTTCGGTTCACAGGAAGCGTGCATCTGCCAATGAAAAAATGAATACGTCGTCTTAGTATCTTAACAGGAGCTTAACGAGGCTGCTCAGTTAATAATGGTCTAACTGGTTGAACCAGCCACTAAAAGACAAAACAACAATAAAATCCAATAATACTTCTGTTATGTTTGTGCCTTGAATTCTTTGTGGTGATCCACTTCATGAATCTGCTCCGAATTAATTTGAGAAAAACCCAAAGACAATTTCATAATGGTTTGCAGTGGATGCGTAGGCCCATAGCCACCACAAACCACCATTGGGGGTGTGCAGCATGGACCTGATCCATATTCATCTTATAGGTCCGAACCGAATACAAAGAATTGTGTATTTCGGGGGTTTTCCTCTCTTGTAAAGAGTCTTTGTCTTGTGAGAGATGTGTGAGACATTGGGTGTATTTGGGGCTTAGGGTTTTTATGTGAGGGCACAAACTCTGTATTTCTTCTCCATTGACATCTTCATAGTGGATTTCTATTCCTCCTTCGCCCATGGACATAGGCTATAAGCTGAACCACGTAAATCTATGTGTTTTTGTGCTTCTCTTTATCTCTACTTTTACATTTAGTTTAGGTGCCATTCGAATCTGTTTTCTTGGGTTTTTCTGCAACAACTTCCATCTCTCATTCGAACTCCCCTTCCACTGTCTCTTAACTCTTAAGCCTCAACATACTGTAACTAGACCACCAGCCACCACAACAATCGATGTTCAACGTGAGGCATCAACCGATGACCAGAGACTAACGATAAATTCTTCTTCTCTTTCTCCTCCACCTTATTCTTTTTCTCATTTTTATCGACAACAATCCTCTAAAATCTTAAGGCCGTATCCCAGAACCCCAACACCCTCTGTCTGATCCTACGACAAGAAATCAAACGCTACCAGCTGCTGTTGGAGTAAAGCCTAACCTTCAAAATTAAGATCATTAAAGTAGGCTAAGCTCTGACATTTGAGGGGGAGAAAAGGAAAGCATGAATAAAGCCGAATTGCTACTTGAAGTATTAGGAGAGAAAATCCATCCAGGGACAGTTAAAAAAATCAGTTGTTCGTCATTACCTTCAGTTTCTTGCTTTCTCCTATTCCTTGAATAGCAAAAAAAAAAGGGCAATCAAAACTACACACTTAAACCTCATTTCTAGTAGCTCTAAAAAATTCCCTAATCCTCGCTAAGTACATGTAGATTTTCCAAGAGCATTTAAACACTTGAAATTATGGACTGAATAATCCAAGAAGCAACCGGCTGTAGCACAATTACATGAGGTTTGGATTACAGTCAATTTGATCCCAACACACAAAAGTTAGTAGCAAAAGATTACCTGAAATTCTGAATACTAGAGCAGAAAACATTGATCTCACAATGCATGAAATCAGCTAATATGTCGGTAGCAATGCAAGAGTGAGTGTTCTGATTGATTTTGGCCTTCTTCTTTGTTGTTTTTTGACTTTTCTTTTTCTACCTACATATCCTGCACTTCCGTTCTGTCTGTGACAGGAAGAGAAGAAGAAGATGATTTTACCGCCGGTCACCGATCATCGGTCTCCCAACTTGGTTGTTGTGGTTTGATGCTGAAAGACAATGAGGGGAATTCGAATGGAGGTTGTCATTTTTCACCTTTTTGTCTTTTAGTGGCTGATTGGACCAACCTTAAAAGAGCAATTCCATTAAATTCCTATTAATTTAATAAGATGACATGCCCATTTTTCATTCGCAGGTGCACGCTTCTCGTGAACCTGAGGGTTCACAGAATTTGAGCTCACTCAAAGAGAGGGAGAGAGCCATGTGTGTAATGATTGTAATCAGGCCATTACTATATAAGGCCTATTTAGTTATTAGTATGAGAGTTATTTTCCAATTTTCTTCCTTCTTCTACCTTGTTCAGAAGGCAGAGCTTCCTCGAAGAAGCCCCCCCCACCCCCAGGATAACGAGTACCAGGGCAAGCACCACGGAAGATCAAGTAGACTGAATTGAGGTTCAGATGTAGAAGTTTGATGGCAACTTGAAGAAGATCAAAGAAGCACTGTCGGTTCTAGTAGCCCAAGTAGACAGGATGTCAGCAACCACTAGAAGGGATGGAGACTTGGAAGGATCTAGCAGCGGCAACCAGAGAACAGCAGAGTTTGTCACTAGGCGGTCAGTGAATATCAATTTTCCAGTCTACTCAGGTGAGGATCCTGCCCCTTGGATAAACAGGGTTCAGCAATACTTCGAGTTCCATGGGGTACCAACGAACCAGAGGCTTTCCATTGCCACAATACACTTGGATGGAGAAACCAATCACTAGTATCATTGGCTCCAGAGATCCCATCCACAACTAACTTGGATGGACTTTACAGAGGGGATGAATGTCAAGTTCGACCCCTCTAGGTATCAAAACTTTGATGAGGCCCTAACCAGATTAAAGCAGACCACCATCATAAGGGACTACCAAAAGGAGTTTGAAATCCTATCTTCCAAGGTCAAAGGATGGCCGGAATCTGCCCTCACTGGCTGTTTCATTGGTAACCTCAGGGAGGGTATTTGCCTGGAGGTGAAATCCATGCAGCCCTCCAATGTCATGGCTGCAGTTGGGTTGGCAAGACTGCATGAGGAAAAATTCGAACACACCAAGAAGCTTTCGGGTCACAGGTGAGAATGACCCCTAGTCAACCACCCAGGTCCGATGAAGGAGATGGGGAAACTAGGCAGGAAGAGACCATTACAGACAAACCAAAGGAACCCCCACCCCATGAATATTGTGAAATATCCATATAAGCCTTGACTAGGGTTCGGTCTAACTGGACCATGAGGGTCTACGGGATTTTGGCGGGCCAACCAGTAATGGTGTTAATAAATGGTGGAAGTTCCCTAAACTTCGTGACTCATAACCTATCCAAGCAGTTGGACTTTACAATTCGACCGGTTAACATGTTCTCGATCCACGTGGCAAGCAGCCCCCCCCCCCAGTGCAATGGGCTATGCAAATCCATGGGCCTGAAGTTGTAGGGCCATCCCTTTTCCGTGGATCTCTATGTGCTAGACTTATGGGCTTAGGTGTAGTTCTGGGAATACTCTGGCTTGAGCAGTGTTGGGCTCAGTGTTGTGCAATTGGGTCAGTTTCACTATGGAGTTCAAGGTAAATGGAAACCACATCCACCTCCAAGGGAAGGGGACACTTTCCCCAACCACAGGACCCCCAAGGTGATTCTCAAACTCATGCTTCATGCGTGGGCCCCTATTCTCATGCACATGGGCCCTCTTACTGTTGGACCTAACCTAACCTGCTTTGAAACTTCCCTTGAATGAGTACAACAGACAGACGACCTCCAACAGCTACTATCAGAATTTGGTGACATTTTGTGAGCCTACTAGGTTGCCCCCTCCTCGATCCCAAGACCACCGTATCCCCATCAAGCCTGAGTCACAACCCACTAATGTCACCCGTACCATTACCCCCTTTTTCCAAAGAATCAAGATTGAGAGAATGGCCCAAGAACTGTTGGGGAAACAACAGATCCAATCCAGCCACAACCCTTACTCTTCTTTCGCTCTCTTGGTCAGAAAGAAAGATGGGTCATGGCACTTTTGTGTCAATTACCAGGCTCTCAATAATATAACTATCAAGGACTGGTTTCCCATCCCTCTCATTGAAGAATTGCTGCTTAAATTGCAGCAGACCATCTATTTCTCTAAACTAGACCTTAGAGCCTGATACTATCAAATCCGGATCCACACGGATGATATCCACAAAACCACTTTCCATACCTATGATGGGCACTACGAGAGTTTCTGGTGATGCCCTACAGAAATCCGTGCTAGTATTCTTTGATGATATACTGGTTTACAGTCCAACCTGGGCCTCCCACTTGGCCCACCTGAGAAGCACTCTAACAGATTTGAGACAGCACCAGTTGTTTGCCAAACAATCTAAATGCAACTTCGGGAAGCGGAGAATACACTACCTCGGTCATATCATAGAAGGGGGACAAGTGACCACTGACCCACAGAAGGTCGTAACAATGAAGGAATGGGCTAGGCCCACCACTGTACACAGTTTGAGAGGTTTCTTGAGCCTGACCAGGTATTGCTGTAGGTTTATAAAAGGATATGCTAACTTGGCCGCTCCCCTTACCAGTTATTGAATAAAGACTCATTCCAATGGAACGCAGAAGCTGAATTAGCCTCTGAATCCATTAAATTGTTGTTTCTTCCCCACCCACATTGGCCTCTACTGGTGCATCGGGCATATCAATATTTTGAACCTTGGGTATAGGGGTTGTACTCATGCAAGGAAGACAACCCGTAACCTTTTATAGTAAAGTTCTATCACCACAGGCCCAGCTGAGATCCACTTATGAAAAGGAGTTAATGGTTGTTGTGCTCTCAAGCAGAAGTGGAGACATTTACTAGGCTGCAAATTTACCATCTGTACTGACCAACGAAGTTTGACGTTTTTGTGTGACCAGCGAATATTGACTCTGGAATAACAGAAATAGCCCTCTAAACTCCTAGGCTACGACTTCACCCTAGAGTACAAGCTCAGCCCATCTAATTGTTGTTTCTTCCCCACCCACATTGACCTCTACTGGTGCATCGGGCATATCAATATTTTGAACCTTGGGTATAGGGGTTGTACTCGTGCAAGGAAGACAACCCGTAGCCTTTTATAGAAAAGTTCTATCACCACAGGCCCAGCTGAGATCCACTTATGAAAAGGAGTTAATGGTTGTTGTGCTCTCAAGCAGAAGTGGAGACATTTACTAGGCTGCAAATTTACCATCTGTACTGACCAACGAAGTTTGACGTTTTTGTGTGACCGGCGAATATTGATTCTGGAATAACAGAAATAGCCCTCTAAACTCCTAGGCTATGACTTCACCCTAGAGTACAAGCCCAGCCCATCTAATGCGGTAGCTGATGCTCTATCCAGGAATGAGGAACTGACCCAAATAGCCATTGCCAACAACACAAATACTCCACCCAAACCCCTATAAGGCTTCTACAGCTGCTACCAATTCCAAGGCAGGTGTGAGATGATGTAACCATGGACTTTATAACTGGCTTACCTAAATCTCTGGAAAAGTCAGTAATTCTGGTGGTTGTAGATCTGCTCAACAAATATGCTCACTTCATAGGTCTAGCCCACCCCTATATTGCGACCCAGGTGGTTCAATCTTATGTCTGACAAGTGACCAAACATCATGGTACCCCAGTCTCTATTGTAATTGACCGTGATCCAGCCTTCATGAGCAGGTTTTGGGAAGAGTACTTCAAGGCCCAAGGGGTCAATATCAACCACTCAACCAGTTACCACAAGCAGTCCAATGGGCAGACTGAGATGGTCAACCGTTGTCTTGAAACGTATCTTCGATGCTTCGTCAATGAGAAGCCGACCCAATGGATGAAATGGTTAGCCAGGGCTGAACAAGGTTCAAAATATCGACACGTATCGGCCCATATCGGCCGATACGTATCGTTCCGGGACCCCTCCGATACGCCCCTACAGTGGGTGTATCGGAGGTCTGACCAGTTCAGGGGGTAGAGGAGACCTAAACCGCCCCCCTGAACCAGTTGCGAAAAAAAATAAAAAAAGGGCCTGAAACACTATCGATTCGCCCAATATGCCCATACCGGCATATCAGGCATATCGATATTTTGAACCTTGGGGCTGAATATTGGTACAACACATCATATCATGTAGTAATTGGAACCACACCCAATCCTATATGTGCAGGAACCCCCATCGGGCTCCACTCCAGTAGCAAAGGTAGAGACACAGCTCAACAGCAAATGAAAACATATTACAACAGGCATCAACAAGAGGTTGCTTATCAAGTAGGAGATTGGGTGTTCTTGAAACAACAGGCCTACCAGTAAACTACCATTGCCAAAAGGACCTGGTAGAAGCCATCTCCCAGATACTATGGCCCTTTTCAGATAATAGAGAGGGTAGGGGAGGTTGCTTACAAGCAAGATTCAAAGTATCGACATGTATCAGCTCATATCAGCCAATACATATCGTATTGAGAGCACCCCAATACGCCCCTACAGAGGGTGTATCGGGGTTCTGACCGGCTCAGGGGGTGGAGGAGCCTTAAACCAGCCCCCTGAACTGGTTTTGAAAAAAAAAAAAGGTAAAAAAAAGGACCGATACTGCCGATACGCCTACCGGCGTATCGGGCGTATCGATATTTAGAACCTTGCTTACAAGCTTAGCTTATCACCATCCTCGAAACTCCACCGGTGTTTCATGTACCCCTACTGAAGCCTTGCCGCAACAGTGTGAGAGCAAGTCCAATCCTTCCCCCTACAATGTTGATGGAGAGCTCTTGAAATGGATCCTCACCAAATAACAGATTTCAGGTGAGTAAGAGTCGATCGTAAAATCATGAAACAAACACAGGTTCATCGAAGGGGCTTTCCATTAGAGGATGCCACGTGGGAAGATTATTCCAAGTTACAGCAGCAGTACAGTCATCTAAACCTTGGAGGACAAGGTTCATTTTCAGGGGGAGGAGCTGATAGAACCCAAACAGGCCCAGCATTCATAGCCCAGGAGGTCCCCATTCCACCAGCCCAAGCCCAGACAGCTCAAGAAGGAACCTCAGCCTAGGAGCAGCCCACGAGACCTCCCACTTGATTTGTCTACATTAGGAGGCCACATGAAGGTTGTTAGAGAGAGGGAGAGAGCCATGTGCGTAATGTGATTGTAATCAGGCCATTACTATATAAGGCCTATAGAGTTAGTTATCAGTATGAGAGATATTTTCCAGTTTTCTTTCTTCTTCTACCTTGTTCAGGAGGCAGAGCTCCCTCGAAGTTGCTCTGAGTAAACCTATCAAATTCAATTCAAGCTACCACACTGCATATAGTCCTATCAATAAATGCCTGCTTATAAACATTACCCATTTCTCAAAAAAAAAATAAAATAAATGTCTGCTTATTAGGATTTAAGATAATGAAATTGAGTTATCATAAACCTAAGTAAACAGCATACAATAGCTTCTTCAGTTATTAATATTAGTGTGTGAACTGCATTTCAAAAAAGTGTGAATTTATTCAAATGTAAGCACTGGAAATTGTATGCACAATTTCATCACACTACCAGATGCAGGTATATTTCATCTACTATTGCAAAATAAAGAAGGAACTGATACAGATGTAGACATTTGAGCATATTTAATCATACCATAGGTGCAGGCACAACTTGAGCAAAGCAGAACTAAATAGAAAAATAATGACCCACTGGCTTACCCACCAAGAAGGAACAAGAAAATAATTCACTGGCTGAGCCATGCAGTGTCTGAACTATAGTCAAGTACATATCACCCCTCTGGTACATTAGGTAAGTGGCAATTCAATCAACTCAAGAAAGACATGTCCTTAAGTTCCGGTTATACCAGTGGTTAAAATAAACAAAAGCAAAAGGCAAAAAGCAAAAAGCAAAAAGCAAAAAACCTTGATGTACCAGAAAGTATATGAACTTAAGGGTCTTTCTACCTCTCCCTCTCGTCCCACCCCCCTCTCTCTTCTCTGTTATCCTTGCCCCAACCACCTCTCTTTGCTCTTTATACTACAGCATAGCACTCTTCCTCTTTTTGTGTGAATGTGAAAATCTGGTCCCTTGTGTGTGTGTGTGAGAGAGAGAGAGAGAGAACTGATCTGGACAAGTATTAACAAAATTAAATATCATAAGACATTTAAATTTGAAAATTATTTTTATCTAAGAGATAAGGACAACACCCTGTGTTCGTTCCACCAATGCCAGGGTCTGAGGAGGGACAGATATATGCAGCATTAACCTGCAGATACACAGAGAAGTTGTTTCCAAGATTTGAACACCAGTCACCCAGGTTGGGGTTCAAATTTTGGAAACAGCCTCTGTGTAAATTGTAAAAAAGGAATATCCTGCATGCCTAAATTGTTAAAAAGGAGGACAAGCACCTTAGCAGCAACTAGATTGCAAAGGGTAAAACATATTTGAAAAGCTTTGTGGATCAATCAAAAGAAGCATTCAAATGGTTTGGAGTAAACCAAAACAAAACAAAATGTTTTAGGGTGGAAAGCAAGTTAATGAATCCAAGCTTCCTTGTTTGTCACCAAACATAAGAAGCTGCTGCTTTCTGTTTTTGTTTTTGTTTTCACCTTTTTTTCTCCTTTTGTTATCTTTTATGGTGTCTACGAATTAAAAAATGCAAACTGAAAAGATTATGAAGCTGACTGTAAAAGCTAATAATTACGTAACATTTTATAACTAACCCTTTTGATGATGACAACTTGCAGCATACTTAGACAATTTAGGATCAGGAGATTCAGATCTCATTTGAGACTTTCTCGTGAGGATCAGGGGGCCCCTTACAAAAAAGCTATCAGAGTTGCCTTCAGAAGCAGTGGAAATCATTGTTGCAATATCCTTTGTTCTACTCGTTAGATGAAATCCAGAAAAATGGTTGCCCCATATATCATATGTGAACTCGTCCCCAAGTCCACCCTTTTCTTCTGCTCTAATGCTCTTATCCATCACAGGTTTGGATCCGGGAGCACGAGCATCTGGGGAAATTGCTGAAGTTGAAGTTAGAAATGGAGGGCTTGTGACATAAGGTGCAAGCCGACCAGCAGATGGAAAAGTAGCAGATGGCAGTAGTACAGGTTTGCTGCTTGCCTTTCTTAGCACAGATGGCTGCTCCTTAGCAGAAAGTAAACAATTGTTATTGCAGGATATAGGAGAAATCTCAGGTTCCAACAACCTATCATCTCTAGTGACTTCAGGAATCTGTCCTTTCTCATGGTAATGGGTTTGGCCTGCCACTGTCGCAAATGGACTCCTACTCTCAATGCCATTGTCAATATCAGGAGAAGGAGATAGAGACCACATTTGTTTAGGTGTAAAAGAAATGACTGGAGACAATGGAGAAGAAGGTGTAGAATTCCCACTCTGGCTACTTGAAACCTCAATAGTTCCTGTTAATCCTGCAATTCCACCAACAGGCCTCCTCTTCCTTCGTCTTCTTCCCTTTTCTTTCTCAATCCTAACTTTAAGGCTACCAGTATGTGATGATTCCACCAAACCAGAGTTCTCAATTAATGCCACAGACTTCAATACTGAAGATGATGACAACAGAGGCTCTTCTTTTTGAGGCTCCAACATATCAATAGTCTCTTCTTGGTTATTCTGCATCAATTTCGTATGTGGAGAAATTATTCCCTGATCCCCACTTGAGCAATCAGAACATCTACCAAAAAACCCCAGTTCTGAGGTCTCATCTTCTCCAACTCGGTTAAATGGGGGGCTATTCTTGTTTTCATACATGGAAAACCTACTGTTTCTTTGGTTACGATGAACACGAGATTTTCCAGCCCTGCCAATAGTGATAATAGAAGTCTTTTCGTTCTTGAACAAGTAATCAAAAGCAACCAAAGACATCGGTTGGGGAAGGATGCAGAAGAATACAAGAAACAATAAAGCAGCAGCAAGAAATATCAAGGAGAATTTTATCACCAGGATCCATAAAAATGACTTCTTACAGATATTGAGCATGTCCACCGGAAGGCTTGCCTTCATGGGGATCACAAATATACCAGTGGCCAGGGCCAACTCAAGGTCTCTATGAACCACTGCAGCAGAAAAGTCTGTTTGGTATGAGATTAGAAGCCTTACTGATTCCCCTGGTTCAAGAGCAAACCCTTTACAAGTATGAACCATAAACCCATCTAACTGACAATCAGATCCCGAAACTTCAATTCGTTTCACCACAAGAGGCAGGTCTCCTGTGTTTTTAGCATATAGCTCTTTCAGCAAAGGCTGGAAACAAATGGAATTAGTGTCTTCTTTGTGAAATAAAAATTCTGGATGTGAAACATTTAGAGGAATTGGCATGTGTAGCTTAAATTCTAGTCTCTGAACAGGCTCAGAACCCTCAAGCAGGGCCAGGGAAAATGACCCTCCAAATCCCTGTAGTGGCAACCACTCTACACCTGAAAGGTTGTTTCTTATCAGCACTGAACTTCTCCACCCACATCTGTGTGAAGGGTGAAAAATAATTGGCCCAAAAAGAGCTCTGCCATAAGGATGGACATAGGCCTCCGTCACTGCATTATCTGCTATGGAGAACCCATACCTAGGTGTAATAGAGTCATTCAGAAGCAAACTACATGAGAATGAGGGCTGTAAGGACTCATCAGGAGTCTTACATTGATCGATGACAATTGCTGAGTTTAGAAGAAGCTGCATTATTACAGGCTTTTGACTTGGGTTTTTGACAGTGATCCATTTGGAACAGTGAGTCCCCACCTGAACAATTGGGAAGAGTATCTCATGATCGTCAAGCACAGACATGCCACTTGTACCCTGAGACCTCCAATTTTTTAACACCAATTCATCTGTTCCTGCAGTCTTCATCGCCTTCAACTGCAAGTTGGCAGGAATACCCGCAATTGCTATTAGGAACATAGAAATGAAGTTAAACATAAATACATAAAATTTCTGTCAGAAACAGAAAATATTTTTTCCCTTTAAAAAACATAAAGATGAAAGACAGTTATCCCATACATAGTAAATCTTCAATCATGACCTTGGATGCTTATAATGGATATTAATAGAAATAAAGCACTAAAACCAAAAACAAGAGTGAAAGCTTTTTTACTTCAAGAAAGAAAGAAAGAAAGAAGAAAATTGTAGAAAACTGCAATTCATCTTGAATGAACGGCCTTAAAAACCTGTAGTATGAAGGAACTCGGTACTATTTACAAAGGATGACAGGAAGCATGAAAAGGGATCCTCAAGCTCTTATCTTCTGGGAGAGGAGCAAAAGGGGAAGGAAGAAAGATGGGAACGGGTGACTTTCAGGTATGACAGAAGCAAGAAGGTAAAAGGTTCTGAGAAGGTTAAAGCAAAGAGTGTTGAACGTGATGCTGATCGAAGAGATATCTCTATCGATTGTGCCCCAGTCTTCTGCGATCGTGACAAAGATTTTCCTGGTTTGATTTCTGGAGCGGTGAGTCAGGAGGTGGTTGATGCCACAAATGGCTTGGACTGATTTCTCTCCTGCTGAGGTAGCAAATGACATTTTGGGGGAGAAAACGAAGGAAGCTGGAATAGGGGGAGATGACGCTGAACTTGAAAAGATTGCAGGTGATAGTGAAGGCGGGTTTGAAGACAACGGCGGGGTTGGTTGAGTTTCTTCCCAGGTGGAGTGCTCTGTTGTTAATAACAGTACTTTTAAGGAAGTGGTGGTAGGAAAGTTAGGTGTTAGGCATGGATATAGGACAGAGGGTGGCAGATGTTGATAGAGACACTTCTGTTGAAGTGACTCCCAAGAAATCTTGTGGAGCTAGGAATATGCACATTGTTCACATAACCAAGGTGTTATCTCAGCTGAAACTTGATTTGGTCAGGGCAATAGTGTCAACAATCAAAGAGGCTAGGGACGTGGACTCTCGGGTTCCTAACAGTTTGGATTCTCGGGTGGGGATTTGTCAGCATGAAAAACACAATGGAACTGACGTCAACTCTGAAGTGAGAGATCCTGATAGAAATCTTGAAGATCAGTAGAGGCCTGGAAGAGTTCCTATTGAGAAAACTGTGGAGAAAGAAGTTGAGATTGGAAAAAATCTTGGCTTGTTTTTTTGGGGAGGTGAGGAGTTTGCTAAGAAGGCTTTTGAGGAGTTTGAGAGGAAAAGGAAGGAAGAGAGGTTGAAGAAAGTTGCAGTTGGGAAAGGAACAGAGGCGTGGGATGAAGATGATAATAGGCAGAAGGAAATGTTTGAGGGGGAGGATTAGGGAGTTGGATGTCTAGGTCCTGAGTAGTCTCGGAGTGCATGGAGGTGGGTGAAGGTGTCCGGAGTCGGTGCTTTTGTCTCTTTGTTTGAATGTTTTGTATTCTGGTATCGCTGGGTGTAAGTTGTATTAGTGTCCGTCTTTTTTCTCTTGGGTGATTTCTTGTTACTTTTCCTTTTGTAATCTCTTTTTTCTTTTAATGATTTTTCTCTTTATTCTTCAAAAAAAAAAAAAGGAATGAGCAAACTCTAAGAGCATGAATGCACTTCATTTTGTCTTCTGGTAGTTTAAGATTCACTTTAAGCAGATGTTCAACACATTCATGCATCTGGATGTATGCAATATCCAGCACCAACATAGTTTTGAAACTCTGAATTGTATCAATGCAGATATACTAAGCATCATGATCTATCTTTTTGATAGTAAGGAAAAGAAAATTTTATTAATAGAAAAAGGAACAACAGAGATTTCACCAAATACAATAAAACAGACATTAACTGCAACTCAACAACTCATAAACAATGGACTGAAAACAGATATATGTCAAGGACCTCAGTCACCCATTTCCCCAATGAGACTCTAATACTGCTAACCAATCTGTTTGAAGATCCCTTTATGTCTTTCAACTCCAAATGGAGCAACACCAATCTGTTAATGTCTTCTATCCCTTTCCTTCCATTCCCTCAGCATACCGTAAAAAGAATAACACTCCATAATATCTTCAGTCTTCTATTCCTTTACATTATCCAATACCTTTTAGAAACAATGTTGTGTTTGTTTTATATCATTTCTAAGTTAAAGAGCCATTGAATGTGGATTATTTGGCTTTCACGTCAAACTTTACTATATCATCTTAATCTCTTGTTTTAAGCATAAAGATGGTAGATATGATTTATTGGTAGGGTAAATCATCTTTCTGTATATATTTAAATTTCAATATAAATTTTAAAATTTTTAACTAGTTTGTTAAAAATTAAAGGATCTTACATATTATGATAGATTCACAATTTGACTTTATTCGACTTTCTCTACAATTTTAATTTTCATCTTGGGTTTGCATCTCAAAGGAGTTTCAGGGTTTCAGGAACAGATATTTTGATAGTCTTTTGGAGGTAGATCATCATCATCTAAACCTTGTTCCAACTATGTGGGGTTCACTACATGAATCCTGTTTTGCCATTCCATTCTGTTCAGTGTGACCCAATGTTCAAGGATGCATCTTTATTTGAAACCCTTTCTAGCTATTTCTTTTGAAATGGCTTGACTCCATGTACTTTTTATTTTCTGAGGGTAATCAAACTTATAAAAACAAGTGTTGTAAGGACATCGGATGCCTGTAATATTCTTGGGTGATATCTTATCCCCTAACCATGGACCTTCTTTCTACTTTAACAAATTTTCCTTTTATTATAAAAAACATAGAAATAACATGATGACAATTTTAAAACGTTAAGACCTCTTATTAAAAGTTAGTAGAACATACACTTTGATATTCACTTCACTGACATTGTAGAAAAAATTACTAACAAGGTGTTAGGATGGAAAGGGAAGCTGTTATCTAGTGGAGGTGAGTTGGTGTTTATAAGACAGGTTCTAAGCAGTAACCCAATATATGTCTCACCACTATGCATACTCCTCATGGTGTACTTAGAAAGTTAGAAGGATTGAACAAATCTTAGCAAATTTCCTGTGGTCAGGTGTTAACTAGGACCAGAAACATAATTGGGTGGTCAGGGATAAAATATCATCTCCTTTTGAAGGAGGCCTTCAAATCAAAAAGTTGGTTGATGTTAACCAAGGATTCAAACCAATACAGGATACGCTACAACTTACAATGTATTCACTGAGTTGTGCATATCAGCATGATATGCATTGGTATTGAGCCGTATCTGTTGTACTGTCTAATACGCACCAATATGACTGACTCTGGTGAGTGCCTCTCAAAAAATTTGTAACTTGCGTGATTTGAACCCATCCCTTAAATGCAACCTTAAGCCACTAAGCCACCTTTTAACTTGTGATAATAAATGAAATAAAATAACTTTTTTATTAACTTTTATATCCACATGCAATCCAAACAAATACCATATGTTTATGTTCAACAATTCCAACCAAAAATTAAAAAGAATAATATTCAAAATTAGTATTTTATAAACTTTAAGGGAATAATGGAATAAATACCTATCAAATCCACATTTATATCAACAAATGATTTTTACTCTCAAGATATTTATACAAATAAAAATACTAAAAATAGAATATTTATTTTAGTACTTAAAATTTATAAATTTGCAAATGATATGCATCTTGAAACTTATATATATTTTTATAAATTATTAATTAATATTTTAATTTTACACTAAATAACAATTTATTATTTACAAAAATAAAAATTTTGTTTACAAAACATCCAAGAATATAATATTAAATTGAACCTATCAAATCCACTAATCTACATTTATAACAAAACTGATTTTTTATTTCAGAAAATTTATAGAAATTAAAATGTTAATAATGGAATAATTATTTTAGTAATTAAAAATATCTTTCTTCAATAACTTCCCTTCTATCCTCACATGTTCCTTCGATTCTACTTCATTAGACTTTGGGCTTTGGCTGGGCTTAACTAGATCCTGACGGGATGGCAGACAATCTGCACGAGCAACAGCACCACTGTTAGCAGCAGAAACAGAAATGACAGGGATAACAGGGTTACCTGAGGAGGATAACAATTGGTACCAAACTTGCAGGGACACCTAGATGGGTTCCTTAACTTGTTCAGACTCCCGGCCCCTTTCCCCCATGCAAACAGTCTCAGTATCTTGGAAAGGAACCATAAAAGAATCCCAAATTTAAGCTTGCCTCCATAATCAAAGTATCTATGCAAATGTTCTGGTTCAAGTGCTTGTCCACCGTCCAGAAACCCTATCCTTGCTGCAGATTTCTTAAAGCTTCTCCTCCTTGATCCACATGCACCCCCTGCTTTGTTTGTGGTCAATACTCTCGCCTTCATCTACTCAAAGTTGCAACTCTACAGTGTCATCTGAGTCTGTAGCCTTTCCTTTCTCTCCATCCACCTCTCCCACGTTCTGGCTTACCCCATGTACATCTTTCTCCTCTGAAAGTCATGTACAGCGAACTCGGTCTGCTTCAAAAAGCTCTAATAAGTAAAAATATTCATCTTGCTCCAGCAGCACTTGGACTGTACCTTCCATACTGCCAATACTAGCTTCATCATCAAAGCAGCAATCTTCCTCCCCAAGTTCCTCACAATTAATCCAGCCATATCTTTGTCCTCATCTTTCTGGTCATCTTTGGATCTAGAATATCTAGGATTGGACCTATCAATGGGAGTTTGAATCTTAACCCATTGTAGCGAGCAAGACGTTGAGGCCTTTGTCCTGTTAATCTTTGATGTGGACAATGATTGATGAGCCTTATCGTCCCCCATCGAGTTAATAAAACCCCCCTGCCACGTGACATTTAATTTATCACATGCACCCAATCCACCCACTAGACCACCCTACTGGATTCAGCTTGGTCTTTCACCTTTTATACCCAGCCCACCCATACTTTTAAGTGCCTCTACATAGGATTCCCTTCTAATACCTAGAGGATCAAGTTCAAAATTTGTTGAGTTTTTCCTGTTATTAGAAATTTGGGTGGACACTCTCACCCATTCGACTTTTCCTCTTCCATATTTAAAACGCCCAACAGTTCCCATTTGCAGGCCACTTCTCCGCCATGTGGCAGCCAACCTGCCACATCACCTTCTTCTTCAACCTTCATTTCTGCTCCTCAAAGAAACACTTCAGCTTCCAAAGCGATCCAAAGTTTTCTCCATCTGCCTCCAGTAAAAAACTCAAATGCCCATGGAATCAAATCCAGTTTTGCCCCCACAATCTTCAACCTCACAGTACAGAGGTCAGAGATATAAAAGGCTTCTAAAATGCCTCCACAAATTGCTGCAATTTTATTCAGAACTTGGATAACTGGTTGAAGAGGAGCTCAAAGATTCTGATCTCAGATCTTCCACCTTCCAGCTCCTTTTCATTACAGGACCGATTCCATCTTTCGATCAACATCCAGCTCTCTCTGGTCAAAATCTTCATTGTTTCAGTAATGGCTCCACCGAAGTTGATAATATCTCTCTTCTCGTCAAACGGCATTAGCCAGGGTGAGTCCTCACATAAGATTACTGTTAAGAGGTCCACCAAAATTCCTTTCCAATCCACTATTTTCTTCATTGCAATAACAACCCACCTCTTCATTCTTCCATCATAGTATACCCTCCACCATTATTCTCAGTAATGTCAAGATACTACACGCTATTTCCACCTTGGTATCTTCTGTTTTTTTCCCTTCATCTTGCCCCTCATCTGGCTTGGATATTTGCTCAATTGAAGCCTCAAGACCTACCTTGTCTCCAATACCTCTGCAATCTTGACCCAGCTTTGTTTTCCCCTTCCCTCTAGAAAGCAAATGAGTTGTCTTTGGTTTTTTCCAAAAGTTTCTGTCAACATGATGAAAGAACCCATGTCGTTGCATTACACCATTACAGAGTATCTTCTCCCTTATTGATCTGATCATCTCGCCCACCCAACCTGGTGAACTATTAACACCACCCCATCAATAAAGCCTTTAAACCAATCCAGAGATTCCTTTATCAGAATCACCATAGATTTCATGTCCTCTCTAATTTTTACCATTGAGCCTCAATTCATTTCCTCGAACAGAAAATTTTTTTCCACCATTACCTCCTTCCTCCACTTTGTTGCCGGAGTAAAGCCTGTGGCTGCTTCTAAGTGCTTCATTCTTCTCCCTTCCTCACAGACTTCCCCCAGCCCTGGTTTAAATCAAAATCTTCGGTGCCATGAAGCCATAGAGGGTGTGACCGTGCAATAAAGGTTGCCGTATGGCGAGTTTTCTACTAAACTAGCGTGGAACACCACTAATGCTCATTGTGCTTGGTACAAGGTATTGTGAAATCAAGACACTCCTACAAACTTTTTTTTTTTGATAAGTACACTCCTACAAACTTTCTTCAATTGGAAGATTTTGAGGTTGCCGTATGGCGAGTTTTCTACTAAACTGGCGTGGAACACCACTAATGCTCATTGTGCTTGGTACAAGGTATTGTGAAATCAAGACACTCCTACAAACTTTCTTCAATTGGAAGATTTTGAGGAGCAGGATTGGGGTTGACTCTCACATTAAACAATTGGGAATTCCCTTGGTGTCAAAATGTGTCTATTGTAAGAACCCTGCAGTGGAGAATGTTGATCATTTGTTGGCCCAAGGCTAGCTAAGAAGATTTGGAAGTGGTTCAGCAATGTTATGGGTGTGGACTTGGCACGCAGGAGCATGGTTTAAGACGTCCATAAATTTCCTAATATTTTCACAACATATTTTCATTTACATGGGTACATATTCCCCAGTGACAATATTGTAAATATGTGGAGGCTAGTCATATGTATGTGTGTGTGTGTGTGTGTGGAGTAGCAATGTTACTGTCCGCCTAATGGTACATGATTACCACTTTGAGCCATCTCGATATCCATTTCAAACATGAAGTTGAATATTAGTTTATGTTTGTGTAATAGATTGTTTGGTTGATCTATTAGAACCATTTGTATTTTCCATGAGTTCAAATTTTGCTCAAACTCATTCTATTATGTAGTTTTGAATCTTAAGGCTTATAGGACAACTTCACACAAATTATTTTGTCTATAACCTTAGTCTCTTAGCTTTGTTTAATGACTTGGAACAAGATAATAATTTAAAAAGGTATGTCTATCATTCTTTTATCATTTCATAAAACATCATTCTATATTTTTTCATATTTTACAATGGTTCCACCATGTCTATAACTTTAAACTTTGTTATTTCGTTGGTTTACTGTTGCAAGGAATTCTAATAATCAATGGGCTATGTTGGTAGGACGGTTGGCATGTTGCATAACATGGGAAATTTGGAAAGAAAGAAATCAAAGAAAGATGGAGGGTGTCTATCAGTAACCTCAATCGATTATCTTCAGAATTGCACAATGGGTGCATCAAACGTTTGTTTGGAAGAGCAACACCACTCCCCTTAGGCTCTTAATTTATCCCAATGTATTTCAGTTCTTAGTTTGTGTGTTCCTGTTCTGCCCATCAAGAAGAAGAAAGTCAAAGTAATCCACTTTAGTCCCATTGAAGATGGTCTCATGAAGCTTAGTGTGGATGGAACCTCTCAAGGCAATCCTGGTTCATGTGGAGGAGGTGGTATTGTGAGAGATTCTAAGGATGCATTTGTGGCAGTATTCTATAATTAATATGGGGAAGATATTAAAACTATGGGCAAAGACAATGGCTTTTCAAGATGACTTGGATCTGATTAGATCTTTGGGGATTACAAAGGTGATGGTTGAAACTGATTCAGAGATTCTTCATAATATTCTCAAAAGAGATTGTGGTACCCCTTGGAAGTTATTGTATTGGAAATCAAAGATCTCGAATGTTAAGTTAGATAATGGAAATTGATATCTCTCATAACTTTAGGGAAGCTAACTAAGTGGCAGACACTCTCTCCAAATTTGGCTGCGAGAGGAGAGTTATATGGGTGAATTACAGGCTCATATAAGAAGACTTGTTAATCAAGAGGGCATAGGCTTTCCCTTCCTCCGTGTAAATTAGCTTTTCTATTGGGTGCGTCAGATATTTCTATATAAGCTGATGGCCTGATGTATAGATTCTTTCGAGGGTAAGGCTTCTATGCCTTCCCCCCCCCCCCAGGATTTATTTATTTTACCATAAATAAAATTTATGGTGGCCTCCCCTCCAAGTTTGGGATTTTTTAAAAAAAAATGTATTTTGATATTCAAAAAGATGTAGCATGTACAATTAGTGGGGTTATACTGCACTGCAAAATCAAAAGGTCAAGGTGCCTACTGCCTAGGTTAACCATTTGCATAAACAACGGGTCCAAGAAGTTGGAAAGTTAGTTGAATATGCAACAATAAGTTTTTCAATTCTCTTTGTTTAATTTTAGTTCTTTAGTTTACATATAAGTACAAACAAATATTATGGTTTCAAAAATGATAATTCCTGCAGCTGCATCTTCCAAGTGTTAGTTAGTAAAAGTAATTCTGTAAAATTCAGGGCATTCTTACAGTATATAGTGCCAGACCATTACTCAAGTAGGAACAGACAAAGGATGAAAGTGAAGGAAGCAACTTCAAGTTCTACTTTTCACTATATGGCTTGCCGGACCAAGGTTGCATCCAACCAGAAACATTTGATAGGGGAAACTAGTGACGAGCTCAAATTATGGTGAGCAGAACTTGTCTATTCTTAGAATTGTTTGCTTTACATAGGTAAAAAACAGAATTTTCAGCAGTCATTCCATACAAGGTTCAAAATATCGACAAAGCTTTTTTTAGTTTTTTTTAAATCCGGTTCAGAGGGGCCGGTTTAAGGTCCGTCCACCCCCTGAACCAGTCAAAACTTCAATACACCCTCTGTAGGGGTGTATCGGGAAGCTCCCAATACGATACGTATCGGCCGATACGGGCCAATACATATCTATACTTTGAACATTGATTCCATATGTAAAAGGTTTTGGACTTTGGAGTACCATTGTTTATCTACAACATATTTTTTTGATAAGTTGTTTACCTACAACATATAACAGTTACAGAAGTTTATCATGATAGCTACCGTGTAATCTTGAAATTAAGTAGATTAATGAAATGCCTACCACTCTTAGCTTAACAACTACCATGGACCTATAATGGCCGCAAAAGTAGAATCACACCCCAATACTCTACCTGTGATGGTGATGGAATGCTGCTTCTCAAAGCTCCTGTCTTTTCATGTCTAGATTGCTCCTCCTCAGGATGAAGTTTGTACTCGATGTATGAATCTGGCATACGTCTCGAACATGCGTATGCTATATCTTGGCAAGGAATCTCAATCTGTGGACTAACAGAACCATTTGTCAATATGAGTAATTTACAATTCAAATATATACTGGATTTTTCAGGTAGAGGATCAACAGGTGGAGTGTAAGTAATCATCGCAATTTGTGTAACAGTGCCAGGGAAAAGTATTAATCCTTCCAAGTATTCAATATTGAAAAGATTAGTACTTTCTGCAACTTCACTAATCTTGACAATACTTAACAGATCTGGGGCCCCATTTCTTACAGAGAGAGCAACATTTACTATTTCAGAGACATCACATGGCAAAAGAACCTCGAGAAATATTGAAACTAAACCCATAAGTCCACTATATGCTTCTTTTCCATGCACTTCTGCTTCAAGAGGAACTATTAGTGTATCAATTCTATCCAGTGAAGAATTCTGCAGATGTAAACAAAAGGCACCAAAAACTTTTCCTTCTGTAGAAGATGAAAAATCTATTTCCATGATGGTTTCAGCGCCATGAGGATCAATCTCCCATTTGTTAAGAGGCCTAATTCCCACCTGTGGAAAACCATCTTGACCACTTTTGATATCTAACCATTCTTTACCATTCAGGAAAGAATTAAATTTATCAGAATCACCAGAAGTGTCCATTTTACAAGAAGTTTCTTCAGAGTGGGAAATATTCCCGGATGAGAAAGATATCCATGCAATGACTTCCTCAACAATGAGGGTACCATCAAAAGGGTTGTACAAGGTCAAGTTCTGCCTATATCTTCCACTGGAAGAAATGTTTAGACCAAGCAGAGGCTGGATTCTATAAGGAGACTCCATAGCAAAACCTTTAGCATGAATTAGGAAACCCCCAGAACTTGTCTGTAATACTACGTGAGCAGAGGACAAGCCCGGCCATCTTGGCAAGAAAACAAAACAAATTGTAGCAACTTCACCAGGTCCAAGCACCAATTCATCAGAATCACAAGGATAGAATTGTGTGTCAGTACTAAATGGTTCATAGATATGTAAAATGCTATCATTGTGAGTATTTGCCACTGTCAAGAAAGATAATGAAGGAAAATATAAATATTTCTGTCCCCAATCAAGTGAAGGAGGGTTTATTTCCACTTCAGGTATTGAAGAGCCATGAAGAGCACCAGATCTTTTATTTGCCTCCAAATTCTTGCCTATGCTAGATCTTAACCCATATCCTCTGCAGGAGGCAAGATGCCTCCAATCAATGCCATTATACTGAAGGTATGATACATCATGCAGTCCCTTTCTGGAGTTAAGAGAACATGAAACTATTCTGCCATTTAATAACTTAAATTGTCCATGATCCAATAACTGGCTTGAGGAAACATCCAACATACTACGTGAAAACCATTTGCCAGGTAATGTAACATCACCACCAATCATGGTAACTTCCAAATGAGATTCCTTTGTGTTGTCTTCTTCAGACAAATGACCAGACAGTGTAGAAGGAAAGCAAAAGAACTCAGAGTTGGCACAAACAACTTTAAGACTCATGCAGGATGGAGAGCTTCTCCAAACATAACTTGAGCTAACATCACTAGCAAAGTTATCTTGAAAACAGGCATCATAATTACCTCCATAAGATTCATATGCATCATACTCCAAAGGGTTCTGCATTCCATTCTCTGGCTGCAACACTAAATTGTTCCTTGTGGAACATGGCTCACAAGTGGCCAGGCGAAAAAGGATGCATGAAAGAACCAGAACATGATGGAATCCTCTGGATGGATGAAGAAACCTCCTGCGTAATAATGTTGGGGTAAAAAGGACAAATATAGAAAGTTAGTGAAACTACAAGTAAATGAAGCAGGTAAGTTTCCAAAAACTCGTTCATCTGACCAAGGAACTGAGGGGGAAAAAGGATGAATGAAAAGAAAAGAAAATTGATGCTAATCACTTAAAAAGCCTCCATCAAACGACAAAAAGCATCCTAAAAAGGTGTAGGTGATCCCTGGAAGCTTAAGCCATTAATGCATCTATATGCATGCATTAGACTAGCATTAGAATCTAAAAAATAAGAAAGTCAACAGATTACACAAAAAATTAATAAGTGATTGTTGAAACTTTGCTTTAAAACAAAAAACAATAGGTTATCGAATCTGCACTGGAAAATATGTAAACCTTTTTCAACTTCTGCAAAATTTGTTGTTTGATTATCTCAGAAAAGAGAAACACGAACTTTTATACGTTTCCTACACTTAACTTAAAACTTTTTATTTTGCAAGTAATCATCTCAAACTTACTTTCAGCGCGTACACAATAATCTCAATTTTTAATACTTCAAAACTAGTTTAAAACTTTAAGTTGCATTAACTAATATCCTCGGTCCAAATTCCGGTTCATAATTTAAGTGAATAAATATGGGAACTTAAGAAAATAAATTAGATAATGTCCATCTGTCCTAAAAACGACGATATGCATTCACTATTAATTAGTAATGTTCAGTCTAAGTTACAAAACCAGGATAAGGAACAAAGTTCCCCGAATAATAACAAAAAAAAGCAATAAAATTGTCATATATACATCACCAAGGGAGACGTATAGAACTATCAAAACATAAAATTTCCCAAAACGGAATATATATCTCCTCCAATCCATAGGTAATCTCATTTGCAGCTACTCATAAATGCACATTTGTAACCAAAAGAAAACCATGTTCAATCCAAGCTTAAGATACAGCAATCAAAACTACAAAGCAGAAAAGGAGTTTAAAAAATAAGGCCAATTAAAATAGCATATACAGTAACAGAAATGAATGAAACATAGAAAAAGAGAGCATTGACATTCAGGAAATATAAGCAGAAGAGATAACCAGGAAGAGTGGCACGCAGCTAAAATCAACAAGGACTAAGCTGGAATGGGGGAGGAAAGTATAAAAGGATAGGAGAAAACAAAAAGAGAGAATTTCAAAGAAAAAATAAAAGGATGGTTGGAGGATTACCGATAGAACATCGACAGCTGCTCTTCAGCTGTGGTGGTCGTTAGGGTTTCATTCTCCATCCCCCTCCGCTCCAAAACCAACCATCTGGTTTCGTCGATTAGGGTTTTCTTCGTTTTCAAAGCCAAGCAGAAAAAAACAATTTCTCAGAGGTTACACCAAGCACCCGGAAAAACGGAAGGCTGTGGAGAGCATCGGAGGTGGACGAGAGACAGGAGGCTCTTTTATGTTTTTGTCGCTGCCATTTAACTTCTACATTGACCAAATTGCCCACTCCAACTCCCTGACTGCGTCGTTTACTTCAATCATAAGCTGATAAATGCAAGGCCAAAAACGTAATTTTGTCCAGCGTTGGTCACTGGTCAGGCTTTCTTTTCCTGAAAATAGAATTAGTTAGGTTTAAAATGGTTCGAACCTTGAAGGGAAGGTGCCTTTCTTATGTCAGGCAAAGAGTGCACGGAATGGTCCTTACACGGGGAGAATCGAAGATATCCCCGATGTGCGGCTGCAATGTATTGCAGGTGGGTTTAATAATCCAAGTTTCGGAGATATTTCCACTTTTAGTTAATATATAAAATCCCGAGCTTTGGTGCTTTTAAGAAGCTTTATTTATTCATTTATTTGTTAATGGCCTTATCTTATATAAATACAATATTAATATTTAATGTATATGGACCGGTAAAAGTTTAATTTGCTGTCGTGAGTCGAGACATATTAAACCGGGTACGTACATGAATAATGATGTCCTTAAACGTGGCGGACCATTGCCCATGAACCGCTCCACTTGTTACTTCTGTGACTCGAGCCCCGAAGCCACATGGCTCAGCCATTCAGGACATGTCACTCTGGTCTCAAAGAGATCTGAGAATAGTCAACCGTTGAATTAGAATATCCAGTGAGGCACGTCATTTGCTGGTTGAAAACTATTTCTTTAAGCCGATCGGAAGGAGAACTGGCATAGTGGTATGTCGGACTGGCTTTACAAAGGTTCCAATCTGACGACAGAAAAAAAGAAACTACTACAATCAATCACCGTTATTGTCTTACGTATCTAGCTCGTTAGTTCCACCAGACTCTGAAGTCTGATCAGCCCCACCCTACGTGATCCCAACAACACTAATATCTCAATAAAATTTGTCGTTAATTAAGTTCACAATATAGGAGATAAGTTAATAGGGTAGACCAGAGAGTACTGGATAAATGTTTTTGTCCGGAGCCACGTACGTAGGGTAAGGATTCAACAGAAGCGACAAGAGGAAAATTAGAAGACGCGGGTCCAGGCCACGTGTGCGCTAATGGAGAATCTGCAGGAACGCGTGTTTTAACGGAAAACGTCAAGTAACGGCCAACGTCTTGGCGGCACTAGTAATCCCCTGATTTTTCTGATTTTCTCGATTTCGTTGTATTGTCTGATTAGAATGACAGGTAACTAAAAACCGTCACATTACCGTTGGTTTGCAAGATGGGGCTCTAAGCAACGTGGCCCATTACAATAATCAGTTTCTATTTGGCGGGAACGAAACGCGTGGACCCCAGTCCCAAATTAGCCATACAGGTGCTCTTTTGTCATTTTCCGTTGCTCGTGATCGAAAGAATTTGGTTTGATTGACGGACGTGCTCCGTCAGAATGGCACCCGGGCATCAAAGGTTGTGAGTGGGTCCATAACTTGACCACTTTCAAGGTAAATAGTCATCTGATTACGTACAAAACTCACTATAACTTTTTCGTATTTTCTATTAAAACTCACTATGATTTTTTTCATTTTCTCTTAGGTTTGAAAAGGAAAAATATATGATGCGGGAAAGACATAGTATAGAAAGAGTTTTGACCAATCAAAACTCATCTATGAATTTTGATAAATAACAGATTGAGTACCACGTTTATGATTCTAATTGACTACTCAAAAGTTATTCAGATATCATATTTTATCCATATTATAGTCGAATCCTTACCTTCGGGGCCATGTCATTAAGTTTTTTAAATTTATAAAATATTTTTATGACAAAATTATTCCTAATCTAAGTTCAAGCCCACACCAAGTGGGCCCAACCCAACTTAATAAATAAATAATTAATTAATTATTTAATTATTAATAATATTGAAATAACACGAATCAAAATAATAAAATAAATAATAATTGATAATAATTAATAATTATAAATAGCACAATAAAAAATAATAAAATTAAATAACCACTGATAAGAAATATTAATATGATTGAAATTTAATAAAATTAAAATAATTAAGAAAATTAATAATTATTTAATATTAAAATTTATGTCTGACATTGTTAATTGGGGTCTTTGAGTAATGCATGAGAAGGTCTCTAATTGAGTTGTGATGGAGGAGACCAGTATGGTTAGAAAGTTTCTGAGAAATCATAAATGCAACATGCACAGCAGCCCATGTTTGAATACTTCGTGAAGAAAGAATGACCTATTGATTTTAATTTGCATTTTAGTTTTGTTTTTTTACTTTTTATTAATAATTAATAAAAAGTAACAAATCGTTTATAACTTAAGCAACTATTAGATCTATAAATTTGCAGGCTCAAGCAACTATTTTCTTTTAATTTAGGTCTACCTGAGATATGCATCATGCCCACACATTATCAAGGATAATCAGATTTGAAGTCTAATTAAGTATCAAAGTTTTGGAGTCCAATGATGGCTTTAGCGGATAGGGCCCAAGCTAAATAACCCCTAATAAATTTGGAAGTTGATGTAGTGTGATCTGGTCACTCCTAGCTGGAAGCAGCCTCGCTCCTACCTAGCAACGGACAACACCTGAGAAGGAGAAGATGAAGAATTCCCGGGGAGCTCGTCCGGCGGGAACACTCTGATGCTTAAGTTAGAACTCTGAGAGAGAGGCTTAGAGAGTAATGACAAACTAAGAGTGGGGATGCACACTACTCGATTACCAAAAATTCAAATTACTTTTTTCTTGGGGGTCAGAGCCCTTATATATTAATGTGCTACAAATCGGGTGTAACCGCCTCTAGCTCTCTCCCACAGCCGTTATTCGTCAGACTGATTTGATTGGCACAGGTATCTGTCGTAGGGTACGGTCCTGTCACCTGAGAGACGTTATGCAGAGCTGGCGTGTATGCCACCTGATGTGAGACGTGGGCGCAGTCCTTTGGACTAGCAGGTGTTGCGCCGCCGGACAAGAGACGTGGGAGCAGACTAAAAAGCACGGTCTTGTCGGATAAGACGTTACCCGAAGACTCCAGGTTACTCAATAGCGAGCTCCTTTGTAGCGCGCTCCCTTGTAACGAACTCCTTCGTAGCGAGCTCTAATAGCGAGTTGTCTTGCAGCAAGCCGTTCCGTAACGAGTTGTAGCGAGCTGCCTTGTGGTGAGATGTTCTGTCGGGGTTCCAGCGAGCTCGTTACAACGAGTTGTGGCCAGGCTGTCATGCCGAGCTATCACTTACGTCGAGTCATATCCACGAGTCCCTTAGTTAGGAGGTCGGGTCAAATCACCCTCCATCAATTGCCCCCCACTCCCCGAGCTAAGAGTCTCACTCTGGCACAGGAAGTTCATGAAGTGATGGGTGGATTTGACCCATATTCAAAACTAGGTTGACTGATTGCATGATGTGTACGCACAGATGTCAGGTGACTTCTGGATTTTTGGGCACCAAAAAATGTGCCAAATTTCATTCAATTTGGGAAGACGTGCAGCCGTCTTTACTTCAATTTCGGAGGACGTGCAGTCGGCGTTATTGTACGCCGTCGGATATGCTCTAATCGAGACCATTGGTTTTTCTAGCGCAGCGGCTATAAATAGGAGGGCCTCAAGCCTCGTTTTCTTTACGCCAACTTGCCTTGCATTCAGTTTTGAGGTCACGCCTTCGCCTGGTGAGTCCTCTATTTTGTCCAAGCAATGTTTGGATATCCGTACCACAGTGGCTTTTCCCGAGACGGTAACCAGGGCGAGGTCCCCTCGAGCTTGGGGGTTCCCTAAAGGGCAGGCTCCGGAAGCCTGTGAGGCCTCCGGTAATGCGGCTTCCACTTCCCAGGGTCGGGAGCCTGATAGTTTCGGCCCTTCCTCCATGTCCATGGAGAGGCTTCGGGCCCTAGTCTCTTATTATAACCTCCCTAGCGATCTCATCTACAGCCTCCCATCGGGTAACTATCCCTGGGAACACGGCCACGACGAAATCGTGGTCTTTGAGGAGCAGCTCGTGGCTGGTCTTTGACTCCCTCTACATCCTTTGATAGTGGAGGTTCTTACCCATTTTAATGTCACTATAGGCCAACTCCATCCGAACTCAATCCGGAATGTGGTTGGGACGATTTCTTTGTTTTTTGAGTATTGTCTTCCTCTTTCCCTTGACATCTTTGCCACCATCTTGTCCATTAAGAATGCCTCCCCCGAAGCCCCTCCAAAGAGGCGCTCGTACTACTTTTCCCCTCGTCCTGGCTTCAAGCTCCTCCAGGATCTACCGAAAGTTCGAGAAACGCTGCAGTCTTAGGCGGGGGTAGGCTTCCTCTATTGGGACTACTTGGCTAAGGACAAGCTCGTGCAGGCCGGTTTGAACCCCGGTAGGTCACCTTTAGGTCATTTTTTTTTCTTTTTTTTTTTTGAGTTGGACTAATCCCTTGTGATTCTTGCAGCCGACATGTCTGGTGTGGATGTGCGTCACCTTCTGTCAAGCAACCAAAAGCGCAGGGCAAAGAGGTTGCGCCCCAGCCAGGCATCCACTTTTGGGGCCGCTGAGTTCGAGGCTGCAGACCCAGCCTTTGTTCTGCCGCCAGAAGTCCCGCCTATGTCCTTTGAGGGAGTAGCCGCGGGAAGCGGCGAAGAAGAAGAAGAAGAAGAAGAGGTCCCACCTCAGGAGCAATACCCTTCAACCCCGTGGTTTCCTACCGAGGGAAGGGACAAAAGCATCACCAACTACCTCGTGGCCTCACGGAGGAGCCGGCGGGTGGTCACTCATGATGAGGTCGCGAGTTGGGCCGGGATGCACCATAGGGAGCTCACCAAGCTGGCCTCGGCTTACTGCATGGTGGTAAGTGCCTGCTTCTTCCCTTTTTCTTCCTCCCTTCTCTTTTTCTTTATCTCCCTTACTTACTTCGACTTTCTATTGGCAGCTGAACTCCGCCATCCACACCATGGCCTGTCAGACTGCTATCCACTCACAGGATGCCGCCAATCAGAGGTCGAACGTGCAGGGTCTCCAACGCGAGCTTGACCGGGCCCGGGAGGAATTCCTCCAGGCTCAAAAG